TTCCTTTTACTTGAAGCTGAATTTTGCTCTTTTGTTTTCCTGATAATAAAAAGCGTGCTAAACAAGACTGTATTATTTGATTCCTCGAAAGAGCAACACATACATTGTGGTGTCGATCCCAGTTAAAGAATTCACCTGTTTAAGTCGATTTGGCCAACAGTTCACTCGTGGATTTTATTACTTACACAGCATTTAGTGTATGTAGCATTAGTTATATAATAATTAACAGATAACTACCATCACTCATAAAACTACTTGTTTTAGTTGATTCTACAATTAGGATACTGCAGTTTCCTTGTTCATGTGCCTTCTTAATTTCACTAATTCCCGAATAACTGATTTAATCTTCTGGGTTCAGTGCAGGATAGCAAATATGTGGGCAGAACGACGTGAATCATTATATATAAAATGAGGTTGAGTATTTATATTAAAAAGAAAATAAATGCCATTTGATGTTAACTTTCCCCATGATAAATTTATTTTTTTGTGTAGGATTTCGTGACAATTTTTTTTTTTATGATCTACAGTAGGTATTTGATTATATATTAATGTAGCATTTTTTGGAAAAAACGGCGAAAAAAAGCATTGACGGGACTTTAGAAAACTGGAAAAGGCTGGTGTTTCTGTATCTTTTTTTATACTACAAAAACTAAAAAAACAACAACTAAATATCTGTCTAGTATTTGGAACGATGAAATTTGCAAGTTCTATAGCAATCACAATGTTGCAACTTTTAATCTACATTAGCAAAAACAATCTGGAAAATATAGACCATAATTCTTAAAGCATCAGTCCTTCCTTATATAAATCACACACACTCACTCACACACACACACACACACACACACACACTATATATATATATATATATATATATATATATATATATATATATATATAATACAACTGAAATCTGGGATAAAAAATAATAAATGTGTTCGTCAAAGACAGACATTTCGTGTTAAAGCCTTTATTTTTTCCTAGACTTTCACATTTTGTATAATAAAGCTGGTAATAATAAAAAAACAATTCTGAAAATAAAACAACGAGGTCATACAACCTTTCAGTAACATTAACATATATCGGACGTATCTGCTGACGTTTATTTACAAGTTCTGATTATATTTGTAACACAAAGATATGTGTGACCATAGATATACATATGTATATATGTATGTCAATTCTACCACATACAACACATATACGATAGAATATTCTGCGTTCATATTTACATATGTAGGGTATGCAATGTTTTTATTTTTATATACATGAGAATGTAATTATCACATCTAGATATCCTGCAGACGCACTGAAGCGCTGAGGAAGTAGATCAGCCTACATTCTACCCAATACAACTGCACTGATATGATAACAGCTCTGCACCGTCACAAACAGACTGCACTTGTCTGTGGCAATACATGGGTCGGTTTCGAAGCCTCGGACACGTCTCACAAGGCGTACAGCAGACTCGGAACCACGAGCACCAGGAACTTGGTCCATCCAGGGGGCAGCACCGGCGACGCCACGTTGGACAAGGAGGCGGCAGAGTGATCTGTGAGTGGGGGAGAGTTGCTGTTTTGATTCACTTTTTAGAATCAAAACAACTGATATAAAAAAATTGTCCTTCTTAAAAATAATATATATTGGTACGTAAATCTCACATAACAGTTTGGCGCAGTAGCACTGTATGCCCCACTGACTGTGCTTCCATGTTATAACCGCAGATGCACGCACACACACCGCCAAGCACAAACAAAGAGACACGCATACAAACACAGACATCCTCATACACGCGCATACACAAACGGCCCTCCTACCTAGCTTGGACTCGTCCAGCTTCTCCCTGAGCTTCGCGAGGTCGGCGAGCACTCCGTCCACCACGTCGTGCGCGTGGTCGCACTCGCTCTCCGCCATCTGCAGGTCCAGCTTGGCTCGCGAAACCTTCCCGAAGATCTGCGCCGCCTCCGCCTTCGTCTGCCGCCACTGCTTCCGCGTCTGCAGGGCCTCCTTCTGCGCCTGAACCACCTTCTCCTGCAGGCTCTCCACTTCGCCCTGCGCCTGCATCGCCTCCTCCTGTACCTCTGCCACCTTCTTCGCCAGCTGCTCGGCCTTCTCCTGCGCCGCCCTCGAGTCGTCCTGGGCCTGCCACGTCTCCTTGCGGGCGTCCCAGGCCTCGCGCCAGAGGTCCCTCGACGCGTTCTGCGCCTCCCGCACCTGCCGCATCGCGTCCACGTAGCCGTAGATGAGGGCGGAAATAGCCACCACAGCCACGCCTACGACCACCGCGCTGCCGATCGCCAAACAACCCGGGCCAATCATGAACTAACTCGTAAAATAAAAGACCACGAGCACAGACACAGAGCAATGTGCACACGAAAACAGACACAGCAATGTGCACACGAAAATGAAAAGAACACGACACAGTAATGTGTACACGAAAATAGAACATAACCACAGTAACGTGTACACGAAAATGAAAGAACATAACCACAGTAATGCGTACACGAAAAAAAGACCACAAGCACAATAATGTGTACACGAAAATAGAACATAACCACAGTAATGTGTACACGAAAATGAAAGAAAAAAAGCACAGTTATGTGCACATGAAAATGAAAGAAGACAAGAACACAAGCACAGTAATGTGTACACGAAAATGAAAGAACACGTATGTGTGTACGTGTGCGTGTGTGTGCGCGCGTGTGTGTATCTGTGTGTGTGTGTGTGTGTGTGTGTGTGTGTGTGTGTGTGTGTGTGTGTGTGTGTGTGTGTGTGTGTGTGTGTGTGTGTGTTCGTGTATGTGTATATATGTGTGTGTGTGTGTGTGTGTGTGTGTGTGTGTGTGTGTGTGTTGTGTGTGTGTGTGTGTGTGTGTGTGTGTGTGTGTGTGTGTGTGTGTGTGTGTGTGTGTGTGTGTGTGTGTGTGTGTGTGTGTGTGTGGTGTGTGTGTGTGTGTGTGTGTGTGTGTGTGTGTGTGTGTGTGTGTGTGTGTGTGCGTGTGTGTGTGTGTGTGTGTGTTTTATCTGAATCATAAATATGATATTCATATGTATACACACTTATATATATATATATATATATATATATATATATATATATATATATATATATACATATAGATATATACATGTGTGTGTGCGTGCGTGCGTGCGTGTTGTGTGTGTATCAAACAGGACGATGTGATGCGTCTAGTGTGGTAGCATACAAGTCGCCTGCTTTGCATGCCTCTCGCTTTCAGCTGCCACCGCCGGCTAGCCCTGCGCGAACGGGGGAGCCGAGTGTGTAAGTCTCCCCCTGTCGGTACACAGCCTCTCCATTGTCAAGACCTCTGCTGTGCCTCCTCGTGGCCACACACGGTAACTGGGTGCTTCGCGGCTCCAGGCTAACAGCAGAGGATCTTGGAGCATCAGGGGGCCCCCAGTGGTGTGGACACGCCCTGGTCCCACACCAAACCCCTGACCCACAGCCCAATGGGATATCCTTGGTTGGACATGGGCTAGGGGAGTCAACCCTGATCCCAAATCTGTGTTGGGGCGACGCAATAGGCAAGGCCCAACAGACCGGGCTCTTGGCACACCTCTGCAGCAACCCAACAGTCCAGTCGTCATGTTCTTCACCTGCCACTGGATCACCTGCTGGGCTGTCAAGATAGTGGACTGAGTTGTGTGCACCCTCTTTTCACTTAAAAATTCCAATGCACAAGTTTCACTCCATGTCATGTCATCTCTGAACTCCATTCCTCACAGCCATCTCATAGCTATCATCATCACCCACTTCATAAGACAAAAGTCCTCCGGCGATGGGGAAGGGGCGGTGGGGGCAGGCATAGGTTGATGCTGGCAGCCTTCAGTCCCAGCCCCTGCACGTGAGGCGGCCCTGAGGTGATGGTCGTCGGAAGGCCAGGAATGGAAACAGTGGCCTCTGATAGGTCCTCTCGGGGTGTCTGGGCGGCCCTCTTTAGGATCCGCACCGCCCACCCCACAAGGGGAAGGGTCTATAAAAGGTGACCTAAAAATTGCCTGTTCCAATTCCCACGGGCGGGTAGCCGAGCTCGTCGTGGCAACCCCTTTTTGTTCGGTCCGACACACAGATCAATTTAAAAAATGACAATCGGCACATGGAATGTGCGTACCCTACTTGACCTAACAGACAATGAAAGGCCCCATCGACGAACTGCCATCATTGCACATGAATTGAAGATATGGAAATGACATCGCAGCACTAAGTGAGACCCGTCTCTCTGAAGAGAGTTCACTTACAGAAGTAGGGGAAGGCTACACCTTCTTCTGGAAAGGCCTACCAGAAGGAGTACAACGTAATTATGGTGTAGCCTTTGCTGTCAAAACATCAATGCTGTCATCAATTCCACAGAGCCCGATAGGAGTTAGTGAACGCCTCATGAGTTGGCGTATACCATTAACAAATAGCCGGTACGCAACTCTGATTAGTGCTTATGCTCCCACACTGGATGCAGAAGAATCAAAAGATCGGTTCTACTCACAGCTTCACACCTTATTTCAATCAATTCCCCGTGATGACGAAATCATACTCCTAGGTGATTTTAATGCAAGAGTTGGTCGTAATCACCAGCTTTGGCAGGGAATCATGGGACGACATGGGGTTGGAAAATGCAATGATAATGGACTACGCCTGCTGACCTGTTCCCAGCATAGTCTAGTTATCACTAATACTTGCTTCCAACTCCGTGATATGTTCAAGACAACTTGGATGCACCCAAGATCAAAAACATGGCATATCCTAGACTATGCTATTGTTAGGCGCAAAGACCTGCGTGATGTTGTGATTACCAGAGCCATGAGAGGGGCTGATGGATGGACTGACCATCGCCTTGTCCGAACTACCATGAAGCTCTGTATACGTCCTCCTGCACGGCGCCAACCACCGCTTTCCAGGTTAAATCTCAACTCCCTAAACGACCCAATTAAAAGAAACCAAGAAATTGTAGGAACACGTCTATCAGATCCCAATCAACCTGTCTT